TACGGTTTGTCACTCTAGATACTGCCACGTACAATTGACCATGCGTAAAGACAGGTTTCTTTAATAAGAGTACAATATGGGTCAAAGATTGGCCCTGACTCTTATTTATTGTCATCGCATAAGAAGTCATGACAGGAAATTGCCTCCTCTGAAACTTGAACGGTATTCTTGCATCTGATGGAGTCAAACTTAACCTTGGGATGACAACTTCCAGCCCAGCATATTTTCCGCCTAAAATTCTTGCTCCAAGTATGTGATTACCAAGCCGAGTAACAATCAACCTTGTTCCATTGCATAGCCCCATTGAAGGATCAATATTTCTTAAAAGCATTATTGGAGTACCAACCTTGAGGATTAACTCATGGTTAGGAACTCCGGATGCACGTATTTTGTTGAGAAACTCTGGAGTATGCAAATCTGCCAAAAATCTGCATTAGAGTCTGACTTGCAAATGCTATCCGAACTTAAATATGTCCTTGATTCTTCATTCACATTCAAAGAGGTCATGTATTCATTAATCGCATCGACCACATCAAGAGTTGGAGCCAAGATTGCACGCTCTTGCAAATAAGTCAGATTGTTGGCAATATTCTCAAAGTCCGGATACGTGCTTTTTACGATTGTAGCAATGGGATCGTCTTCGCACTCTAACAAAATGTCGCTCGGAATCTGAACATCGGCAAAGCCATCATTATCTTCTCCCTCATTACCATCCCCCAAGTTAGCAATCCACTTGGCGAACTCTACCAAATCTTCATATTCACGATCGTCACTCAAGGATTACAATCTCATGTTTTTCGTCAAACGTAATACAATGCACTCGTGCCAAAGATACGAAGAATTAATTGTCGCATTGACTATGTCTTGTCAGTGACCTTTTGTGATGACCGGTAAAATCTGTCTGAAGTCTCCTCTGAAAACAACCATTTTCCCTCCAAAAGGTTTGTCAGCACTAAACGAAACAGTGAATCTAAGAATATCTCGCAAAGTTCTGTCCAAAGCTTTGAAACAATATGTGTGCGTCATAGGAGCCTCATCCCATATAATGAGCTTGCAGCGAATTATAAACTGCGCTAGTGGACTCCCCTGTTTTATGTTGCAAGTGGAATTCTCATCGGGATTGATGGGTATTGCAAATCGAGAATGCGCTGTCCTGCCACCAGGCAACAGTAAAGTCGCAATGCCGCTAGAAGCAACATTGAGAACAATTTCCCCTTTTGATCGTAATGCAGCAGACAAAGTCTTCCACACAAAAGTTTTGCATGTGCCCCCGTAACCATAAACGAAGAAAACTCCCCCTTCGGTTGATTCAACAGATTGCATGATAGTTGTATATATCTCACGTTGATCTTCATTGAGAGCCTTTATGCATTTCTCGTGCTCTTCGTGTAAGGTAACACGATCATATTGCAATTCGTCAAATATAAGCCTATTCTGAGACATGGATGATTCGCTTATGTTGGGGAACGGCATTGACGGATAGTCCTTCAAGCTTTTACCTATTCTCTTCAACATGGTCTCTATCTCGATGAGTGCATAATTCTTAATCTCATCTTCGGTCAATGTCAAATCTAAAATACACAATTAATACAGTTATTTAGCATATACAATATGTGATATAATATTACTGAATGACATAAATATGAAGTGTTAAATGACTTGCAATATTTGTAAGTACCAGGATGCAGTAAAGCTCTCCTTTGCTTATGTAGAATGTCATCTGACATAAATGTCCAACATTTGTCCCACACGTATTCTGGTCTGCTCATTGTATCCGCTGCCAACAATATAACAAATAGCTTTCTGAGGACCCATACAGAGGCCCAAAAACTACCTTCAGACATTCCTTCAATATACTCTTTGTCGTCATTTAACAATCCTAAAGCGTAACATGCATCGCGATATGTAGCATGGCAAATCCCATCGACAGTTCTTAGATCATCATAGCATGTAGCCCCAGGCCTCAAATTAAGGATGCATCTTAAATAATAAGACTCGCCTGAACCTGGAGGGACATACGCCAGTCTGCCTATAGCAAAACCCTTTTGGCAAGGGACAAATTCTCTGGATTTCACCTTCCATACGAACTTTTGAGGGAATTCAGCGTAAGTTAAATCTCTTGCCTCCGGGTACTGTACATTCGCTCTCATCCATGCCAAAAACATACTCTCCCTAACGGATTCACACAGTACAACATCATTCACATTTGCCCCATCTTCAAAATAAACATACTGCTCGTCGGGAAAGTGAAAGCTTAGTCGTTCTACTGATGGATTCTTGTACTGAATTTCAAACCCAAATATTCTCCACATGGCCTCACATGGAGATATATACCTACAATCGTAGTATACCTTTATTTCATCAACAGGTTTGTCAATTTCATCTTTATTAGTAGTCTCATAAAATCCTGTTGTGACACGATCATTTCCTTTGTTCACGTATTTGAACAAATATTTTATTGACCTACTTTGATTGCACCACTCCACATTTAGGTGAGCACCATACTTCAATAGTAAAGACCTATTATGGGAGACAACATATCTATTGTCAAGATGCGCTGCACCCTTGACAACTAATCTCCCATTATTGCGCCTTCTATACTTAGGATAACCTTCATCGTCAAGAGTGGTTTGTTCGTTGAAGTTTTTCGGAAAGTGCTTTGAACACTTCGATTGTACCATGCATGGAGCACTTTTGGCATCATTACCACACGGTCCATGCATCATATGCATACACACAACATTATAATACTCTGGATCATTCAACTCATCAGGTATTTCAGCAGATATGATGCCATCAATGTCCGTTGGTGTTGGAAACTTGTCAGCGTTTCCCATGAATAACAGAATATGAGCGTGAGGGAGACCACACTTCTGGAACTCAATTGTGTATATGACTGTAAAAAAAATGTTATATCATGACATTAAATTGGCGTACATCACATTATAAGTATAATATTTTAATTATAATACCGGAAAGTGATGTGAGCACTACAACAAAATAGGCCTTTTGTAACACCTACAAAATGTTGCATTACATAGTTAAAATGTTACAAAAGGCTTATGTAACACTTGTATTAGCGTTACTTCAGGTCTCGTTGCATAAAGTCATATGCAACATTTTTTACTATATTATGCAACATTTAACAAAAATGTTACATAAACTACTCTAATGCAACACTTTTACACGAGAAATTTAGCACCATCTTATGCAACACTTTTTTGAATAAATGCAACACTTATAATATGACTTTTTGCAACATATTTATCATATTTAGGTAACATATTTAATATATCCTTTTGCACCATTAAATTACATTATGTAACATTTTTATCACTATTTTTTGCAACAAAATTTTTGAAATGGCAACACTTTTATTGAGTTATAGGTAACACTTTTCTAAGAATATGTAATATATATATATATATATATATATATATATATATATATATATATATATATATATATATATATATATATATATTTATAATTATTTATACAGCAACCACTTGATCAATACATATCAATAAAAATGTATAAGTATCGCAATAATACATTATCCAATCAAGAAATATTCATCACATATCTTATGTGTCCAAGAAAACTCGATGGATAACATTATAATGAACATTCCAAACAATCTGTCATGATATAGTAAAGAATCTAAAGTTGCACAATTTGAAATAGAAAGTAGTACTCTAAAATATCAAAATAATAGCAATCAATTAATCTTTTATGAAATTAATTAAATATTTTGGACTCTATACTCCAAGCGAGGTGACATCAAAACTTGGAACCATGGCAGAAAGCTTTGCTAAAATCAAATCCATTTTCTGTTTCTCAACTTCACGCTCCTTCCGCATTTGTTCTAGCTCGGCGTCCTTTTTCTCATTTTTCTCTTCAATCTCCTTTCTCAAAGTGCTCATGATTGTCTCCATATCATTAGAAGTCATGACAAACGACTGCACGACCTCTTTTGTATTAGCAAGGTCTTTCTTGGTAACACCTCTTCCACACATTATTGGACCACCACTTTTCTCCTTTGACATAACAGCATCATACCCATCAATTGCAGCTTCACCTTCTTCATTATTTTCTTCCTCATAATTTTTCATTTCAATCTGTAAATGACATATCATGATAATCATTAAACATTCCAGTTTTTTGCCTCATAATTCTACATCTCAAATCTGCAAATGACATTACGATAAACTATACTACCGAAAATCATTATCAATGTACCGTTCCATAGATTTTTACTCAAATTATTGTACTTGAAACAAAAACAATTGATCTAACATATAAGCAAAATAAATTGGTCTTAAGTGTGTGAGTACCACAGAACAGAAACAATAAACTAAAGTACTCCGTAAACACAAACAAATAACGCACAAACTGCTCCATAAATTACACTCAATACACTCAATTTGCAGGAGCATCACAAGTCGATATTAAATTTGTGATGGGTAATAAATCACTGAAATAATTAAGAGATAATATAATATGATAATGCAAGACTCACAATTTTTGCAGCAGTATCTTCATATGATCCTTTATATTGACGCCCCTCAGTTCTTCTGCGTGTGGCTTCATACATAGTTGATAACGGTATGTCAACACTATTTGGAAGAGTAGTTTGCTGTGATAAATAGAAAAATCATGTATAACCTTTCTACAATTAACAAACAACAAAAAGTTGCATTGTTACACATAATATGTATGGTACCAATTTTGCACGAACTCTAGCATAAGACTTGCGACCCGTCGTGGGGTTATCCTTTCGGAAAGCACGATTACCCTTGTTACGATTACATTTTTGCTGCATTGAATGTCGCAAACCTTTAGTCTCAGCAAACGTGAAAGAATAAAATACATCAATATTTTTATTTAATGTACCTGGTAATGTTTACAATTCCACAACTTTAAGAGCATTCGAAAATCTTTTTCAGGAATCTCTTTTGGCCGATTACGCCATCTACTCTTATTATCCTTGTATTGTAAGCAAAGCCTTGTCTTGAATCGACACTTGTGAACTCTCCAGGCTGACCCAATTGTACTTAATACCCATTTTTTTTCTTTCAGGGCAACATCATATTTGGACTATACACACAGGTAAAACAATTAGTTATATGTAGCCTTAAATGTTATGATATTTAATTAATTAAAACTTTCTCATAATTAATCTCAAATACGAACTTTCTTTTCATAATAATCCAATATACTACATATGTAGGTCAAGTAGAATATCAATTATAGAGACTGTCTTCCCTGAGCGAGCAAAAGACACTCATAAATTGATAAACATGTAAAAATCCAATTAAATGGAAAAAGCATAATAAATAATAAGGGACTAAGAGCTCCATAATACATACCAATACATAATCCCACATACTGTCCTTGTCCGGCATACGTCGCCAAGTACCAACTACCAAGGGTGCAAAGTCATAATGATGAGCAATAGTCCCCAAAAAGGATGAGAATTCATCTAGTGTAGCATCATCCGGTCCAATTGGCTGACCAAACTTGTTTAATATGATGCATACACGTTGTTCTCGCATATGTACTGCATGCATCATTGTAGGACCCCTAGTTTTCTTACCTGGTTTTTGTTGTATCTCATCACCTGTTACCTCATGTTCAAGCTCAACTTGATCACTCAGATCATCATTCTCTTCGTCTTCAACATGTTCATCAATCATAACATCACTAATATTCTCTTCTATATCTTTGTCACCACCTGCTTAAAATAACTAGTATAATCAAATCTCTGAAATTAGACTGCTAATATGGACATGTTCAATTTTATATCAAGAGATAGAATTTATAATGAACGAGAAATTGCATTAATAACATCAAAGTAATCATGGTGCATGACGATCATCAGCCCAGGACTTCTTGTAGCAGATCAGACATAATTAACTTATGCACGCAAGTACACCATATATTATGAAAAAGTCCACTAATAAACCGTAATAGTCAGAACCCACTGAGTAACTATAAACTGGTCTCTTACATATATAGAAAGGATATTATGGAAAATCCATAGAAATAAATTCATTATATCCATGTATACAATACAACATTAATAAAATATTAAAATCATATGTCATGTCCACCAGATTGCATTATCTCGCTTACAGGCAATCACTTTCAGCATTAGCATAACAATAATATTAACTCATACCTTCCGTTCCCCCGAAATCATCATACAACTCAAAAATCTCTTCATGTGTCCATGCATCAATACCAATATGCCCTTGCCCTGTATTGTTAGTTGAACTCATGATATATATTTATCAACAACTAATAATATTGAGTGTGCAGAATATAGTATGATAATAAAAAAAATCACAAGTAATTAATTTCAACTTAATACCATTATTTTCAAGATGGCGGTTATGATCTTCAAATCCAAGCTGCATATTTGATCTTGGACCCTCTTCACCTTTTTTCCTTAAGAACTCAGCCATATTGATAACTGCATTTCTTGGTGAAGTCTTGTTTTTTTTATTCTCTGTAGGCTGTCTTGCAATAACGTTGTTATGTGCAACTTTATTCACAAGACTATCTTGGAAGAGTGTTGTGACCTCTTGCTGAGGTTGATTTTGGTCCATTGATTTATTTGTTGACATTCCGTGAGGTCTTTTATTCCTTAGAACCCTGTGAAGTGATAGTGGTGCAATGCACTTTTGCTTTTTCTACAAAAAAAAACAAAAAACAAAAAATCTTGGATACAGTACATTACTTTCAAAGTAAAAAGATTATATCTTGATATGTCAAATTATCTTTTTTAAAACGATAGATATGGTTAATTACAAAAGGATTAATCTGATATGTAAGACTTACCTTCTTCACCGGGCTTACTCTTTCTGTGACCTCTCAGGAATTGCCTTCTTCACTAGGATCATAGTTAGGATCATTTCTAGGCTTGTCTTTTCTCTTTCTCGAACCATTGATGTCTGCCAAACTTGATAGTGATTCAGAGATAATTGGAATATTTAATTGGCGCATCCTTTCCTTATTCAGTTGAATTTGTTCTTTCCGTTGCAGCTCATAGTTTGTCAACTTTCTTTCACACTCAACTGATACTCTCTTCTTTGCTATGTTTCTAGCAATATTTTTGTTGTTGACTTTGTCCATTACCTGAAAACATAATACAATCTATTTGTTACTTTCACAGCTAAACACAATAATGATTTATTTTTTTGTTGCCACCTCATGCTTCATTCTTCTCATTAGTCCAAAATAGATCCTTAACACAGCATAGAAGGTGCAATCTGCCTCACAAGTCATTGTTGTTCACAAAACATACAAACATTTGGAGAAAGATGCTTTCTAAAGAGAAAACAACACCGATCTAATGAAATACTCCGTAAAACCTAATTAAAATGAGTATATGCAATAAGAAAAATTTGTCTCACTATTTAAGTTTAACACCAAAAAGTCTACCAATCTAATGACTGAAGTCTAGCTAAACCCAATCAAGGCAAATCATCTTATATAAAAAGAAAGGCAAAATGAAATAGAGAAAAAACAATCAAGATGGTGTTAAGATTAATAGCAATTTGTCTTGCTTAATTATGAAAAAGGAAAAGCGAAGTTAATAATCTTCTTCGTCACTAGCATGCATCCAATCCCATAGTGTATCATCTTCTTCTTCTTCAGATTCATTTTCAATTGCAGTGCTTGATTGACCAACATTCATAGTCTCTGTTTCAGCATCAAGAATGATTGGAGCAAGGTCTTCTCTAGCAAGACTAATGTCATCCAGAACAACATTGGGAAAAGACTGAACTCGATGATCTATAGGCTCCTGTCAGTAGTTATTTTGTGCCTCTTCATTAATCTCTGTCTCTACTTCAAAGAAATTTCTAGGGATTCTTTCCATAACATAGCATAGCTCACTGTTTATAGGATCAGACACATAAAAAACTTGATTCACTTGATCTGGAAGGACAAAAGGATCATCTAAAGAGCAAAATTTTGAGGAGTTAACACATGTGAGCCCATAGTCATCTTTCTCAGCTTGATACCATTCACACCTGAACAACACAATCTTGAACTTTGACCAATAATTTAATTCAATTATATCTAAAACTGCACCATAGTAAACAACTTCACCAATAATTGGATTATTGTCTTTAGAGCTGGCAAAACTGTTGGTCATAGCTGTTAAAGTCACACCACTATTTTGAGTTTTGCATCTTTCATCCCGATTTTTTGTATAAAAATGATAACCATTCACAAGATATCCACAATATCTTTTTGCACTTGGACATGGGCCTTTAGCTAACCAGAAAATGTTGTCAGACACACGGTGATATGATACTTTATCCTTTAACCAGTATGTAAATTCATTACTACAGTTGAGATCTGTTGCCCATCTAGTTCTTTTTTTGCTTCTAGAGACCTCATCTTGATGTTCACTATTCAGAAAAGGTAGAAAAACTCAGTAAGGGAAAAAGTAAAATAAAATAAGATATCATATATTTACTCTCTTACCGGATCAAATCTTCTAATTCTTTAGAATCTGAATTAAATAGAACATAACGATGTGCCAGTTTACACGTTTTATCGTCCAAGGTGAATGATTTTCCTTGTCTTCTTTTCATTCCACCGAGTGGAATGCCAGTGACATTGAAAATTGTCAAATGATCATTGGCATCCTGCTTAGGGTTATTTGGGGCAGTATGTAGCTTTCTATTCGCACCAGTCTTTAAATAATGTGTGCAGAATGTCAAGCATTCTTCGATCAGGTACCCTTCTGCTATAGAACCTTCAGGGCGACTTCTATTACGAACATATGTCTTCAATTTGCATAGATACCGCTCCATGAAATACATCCACCGATAATGCACAGGTCCCCCGAACCTTATTTCTCTCACTAAATGAATAGGTAAATGTAGCATTATATCAAAAAAACATGGCAGAAATATCTCTTCAAGGTCACACAATACTTCCTTGATTTCTAGCTCTAACTGATCAAGCTCTGATGTTAAAAACACTTTACTGCATACTTTCTGAAAGAATGAACCCAACCTAATTAAAGGGATGGCAACATGTTTAGGCAAAGATCTTCTTATTGCCACTTGAAGCAAGAAGTGCAACATAATATGAGCATCATGGCTCTTATATCCCGAGACTTTCTTCTCGGAAACATGTACACAACGTGCAATATGTGATCCACACCCATAAGGTAATTTAACCTGTTTTAGAGCATGACAAAATAACTCTTTCTCTTTGGCAGAAAGTGAAAAACTTGCCTTTTTAAGAATAACATTCTTTCCATCATCAGAAAGAACAGGCTGCAAGTCTTTTTTAAGACCAAGTTCTACGAGGTCAAGTCTGGCCTTAGTGTGATCCTTGGTTTTTCCTGGAATATCTAATAATGTTCCAATTAAACTATCACAGATATTCTTCTCTATATGCATCACATCTAGATTATGTTTACATTCATTGAATTTCCAATATTGTAATTCAAAGAATATAGACCTTTTTTTCCAAGCGCAACTACTGTCAGTTTTCTTCTTCTGTGACTTGCCAAATACATTGTTAAATGTAGATAACTCCTCAAGAACATCGAATCCAGTTAATGGCTTAGGTGCAATCCTCTTCTCAATTGATGTCCTTGTTTTTCGCTTTGGATGTTTAGAATCTAGAAACATACGATGACCCATGTAAATTGTTTTCCTGCTATGCTTGAGATACATAGAAGGAGTATCATAATTGCATTTTGGGCAGGCAAACTTACCTTTGGTTTTGTAACCAGAGAGCATAGAGTAACCAGGGAAGTCACTAATTGTCCAAAGTAGTGCAGCATGTAATCTAAATGTCTCGTCTCTAAATTTATCATACGTCTCAATACCTTCAGTCCACAAATCCTTTAAATCTTCTATCAATGGCTGCAAGAACACGTCGATATCATTTCCAGGAGAGTTTGGTCCTGGAATTAATAAGGACAACATCAAGTATTCTGATTTCATGGACAACGAAGGGTGAATGTTATAATTGACTAACACCACTGGCCATGTACTATGTGCAATACTCATTGTTCGGAACGGGATAAATCCATCACTTGCAAGCCCTAATCTCACATTCCTACCTTCTTTTCTGAAACTAGGATGGAGTGAATCAAACTTCTTCCACGCTTCACCGTCGGCCGGATGTCTTATCTTACCATCCCTTGGACGATTTGTATCATGCCATATCATTTGTTCAGCAGTTTCAGAGCACATATACAACATTTTTAACCTTGGTTTTAATGGAAAGTACCATAAAACCTTAGCTGGAACATTCCCTTTATGCTTATTTTGTTTGTCATCATTCAATTTCCACCTCGAGGTATGATATACCTGCCCTGACTTCACCAAATATCTTGTTATGTTGTAGATCCTTAATCAATTCGTCCAACTTCATTTTAAAAACACGACATATTATATCTGGTCGATCCTCGGGGTTCAAGTTTCTCTTGTTGAGGAATCTGACAATTTCTGGCCACTTAGGATTGCAAGTGAATGTCAGAAATAGATCAGGATAAACAGCCCACCGACATATGGCCATCGAATCTTGATAATTCTGTACCATATACCGCGCCCCTCCAACAAATGTGGGCGGTAAAACTACTCTCTTACCTTGTGTAGAAGCATCTCTCTCCTCACTAAGCAAAGCATCAGAAAGGCCTTTGTACATTGCACACCTCAATTCTTTTTAATGTGTTCTTAGGTACCTTAGCCTTGAAGATTCGACCATTGTATACCTGTCAACAACAAATTGCTGGAACAATCTTCGACTCTGAAGGATGAAAGTGCACTCGGTGCTCCGCTCATGCAATCTATATGCTAAAAACTCTCTAATGCTCACACTTTGGCGAGCCCTTGCCTCAGAACTATCAAGGTCAGAAAAGTTTATATCCTCTCGATAACCATCTTCCCCAAATGGAAACAGAAGTGGATACTGCAACCCCAAATATGAAGGATTCAATTCACTTATACGCTTCAAGAGACCTCCCTAGGTTTCAACCATTATCTCTTTCTCCGAGCGCTTCATCAAAATCCCCGACAACCAAAGTCGTTACTTCTGAAACGGTGGGCAAATTATAAGTTCTAGCATCTCTATTTCTCATGCCTATTAACTTCAAACTCACTTTCGTCTCGCCCCCTTCAGCGATCTTGTCTCTAACCATCCTAAAAGACTTCACCAGAGCGTTATGCTCATCTAACATTCCCCTTAAAGTAGATACGATCTCT